ATCTTTTCATTTTTAAAATCGTCTGACTCTCCCCCCCCCCCCCCCCCCCCCCCCCCCCCCGTTGCGTTGGCCCTCGACCTTTCCGGTATGGGATATCTGGCCCTCAGACTCAAATGAGTTTGAGACCACTGCTATAGGAGGTGCGCGTCAGAAACGTTTAATAGGACCCAACAAGGTGGGCAACAATTGCCAGCAACTTGCGACGCGCAAACGTTTCTCGGCGAAGTTATGGAGTGCGAAGGTCAGTACACGAGACCTCTCTTGCTTAGGCGACGCAAGTGGACATTACCAGTTGACTGCTTCCGTTTCATTCTCATATTTAAACTAATCTAAAATATTACTGTGAACCAAGAAACTTTTTTTCTTCTCAAGTTACAGTACTTTGTGTGCAAAATAAAAAGTGTTACTGTATCTTTGTGGCGTTGCAAGCACGAGGTGCTTAGGCCTTTCCGTTGCGGTGTAGAAACGTTATTCTAAAACACCCTGGCACGGCGAACGATAAGGCATGCGCTAAATTTAGCGCTAGCATGCGCTCGGTCGCTCCGGCGAAAAGTAAATCCGGTAGAATAAACACAAATTCGGGACGAAAACAGACGCATGCAACTCTTTCAACTCTCAACGAGATTTATTTCGTCTCTGTTCAAACGACGGCCATCGAGCAGGTTCAGGGGAGGGAGCAGAGAAGGAAAAAAAAAGGGGGGGGGGGAGGTTGAAAGAAGAAGAGGGGGAAAATCAGGTTATTCGCGGCCTTACCTCAAGGCCCCTGGTCCCTTCCGCCCAGTTCAGGATGGAGAAATTTCATCTCCCTGTCTGAAAGGGCTAGAGAAGCCGAAGCAACGTTAGTGACCGAGCTGTTAATGGCGTACGACTCGGTGACTTCACTGCCAAATCTCTGCCCTTGTCCTCCCAATACGTGGGTACCTTCGTATCTGGGCGAACAACCGTCGCACTTCATACGGTGTAAGACTATTGGATGCATGGAGTCGTCGGGGGGTTCGCTCACCTCTCGCGAATGTTTCCTCAGGTGCTCATTTAGGCACCTGCCGGTCTGCCCTATACAACCCCCCCCCCCCCCCCCCCCCACGAAAAGGATAGTATAAACCACCTCCTTCCTGCACTTACCAAACTGCTGTTCGTGCTTTTTGTTGCATTGGGTCACGGAGGGTGGGGTATTCACCATTCTGCACATTTGTTGAAGCTTTTGCTTGCAGCTAAACACTACCCCTATCTCGAAGTGATAGGCAAGTCCCTTAAGGCGATGTGCGGTGTTGTGCGAGTAGAGGATAACTGCAAAATGTTTTTTTACGAGGAACAGGAGCGGCTGGCGGTGCCCGGGAGGCAGTGATCAGCCTCTTTAGTGTCTTTGCCACTAAGTCTTCAAGCTACCCTGCCCTCTTTAGCCTCTCTGTCTGTAGGAGCACGCTGTGCGTGGTGAGATGGGGGCACGACCTGGTTCCAGAGGATTTTAGGAGTGAGTTCACGAGGCCCCGTTTTACTGCTTTGGAGTGGGTACTCGTGAAGGGCGGACCGGCTTTTGTGTGCGCTATCTGAACTCCCAGCATATCCCATCGGGGTGCATCTTCAGGTGCAGGTCCAAGTATTGAAGACCGTCTTCAGACGGGTCTTCTCTCTTGAAGGAGAGTCCGGTGGGTCTCGAAGCGAAGGCCTGAATGACAGACTCTGGAGGGGTCTGCTTTGGGTGCACGATCAGATAATCGTCTACATACCGGAACACCCGGCTCTCCGGTGCGGTCTCCTCCATTCAGCTCCTATGCACAGCGTGCACAGCATGCTTCTACAGACAGAGAGGCTAAAGAGGGCAGGGTATCCTGAAGACTTAGTGGCAAATACACTAAAGAGGCTGATCACCGCCTCCTGGGCACCGCCAGCCGCTCCTGTTCCTCGCAAAAAGCGTTTTACAGTTATCCCCTACTTGCATAACACCGCACACCGCCTTAAGGGACTCGCCTATCACTGAGCAAACCCCCCACGACTCCATGCATCCAATAGTCGTACACCGTATGACGTGCGACGGTTATTCGCCCAGATGCGAAGGTACGCGCATATTGGGAGGACACCGGCAGAGATTTGGCAGGGAAGTCGCCAAATCGTACGCCATTAAGAGCTTGGTCACTAACGACGCTTCGGCTTCTCTATCTAGCCCTTTCCGACAGGCAGATGAAATTCCTCCGTTTCGAACTGGGCGGAAGGGACCAGAGGCCTTGAGGGAAGGCCGCGAATAACTCATTTTTCCCCCTCCTCCTCTTTCAACCCCCCCCCCCCTCCTTTTTCCTTCTCTGCTCCCTCCCCTGAACCTGCTCAATGGCCGTCGTTTGAACGGAGACGAAATAAATGTCGGTGAGAGTTGAAAGAGTTGTAAGTGTCTGCTTTCGTCCCAAATTTTGTTTAATCTTTCCGATTGTTTAAGTATAATTACCAACACGCTCGTTTTTATTGTTAAATCCGGTCGCTGTAGCTATTTTACTACACGAAGTTGGTACTGGTGTGGGCCTTTAGCGACAATGAGTGGAAGTCTGGAATAATATATAAAAACGTGCTCTCCTGGCGCAATAGATGTAGTGGTTGAGTTGCCAGCTGACTCCACTGCTATTGAAGTAACAGGGCAAAGATACGCTAGTTGATCATTTACTGAGATAAAACAACAGAGCGCTAAAGGCTGATTTTGGAGTAGCCATAAATATTCTAAGAATGCGAACCACTTCATGACGGCAGCCACGAGCGAGAGTTCGATGTTTGGTACAGCCCGTCGGTACAGCCCAAAGATGGAGAACGGCAACCTCCCTGTTTTTCGTCTGCTAGCAGAGTCGGGCGCGTGCCCTCTCTCGTTTTACCCCGCCGACCCTGCTGAACTTCCCGGATGTGTGGAGAAGGTGCTGTGGTCTAACAAAATGGCGCCGCCCTGAGAGAGCTAAATGGAATGGTCTATAAGCTCCCTACAGGAGCCAGAGTTGCGCATCTGTTTTCCATGTGCTGCCGCGGCGCTAATCGCCGAGATCCGATCACGTGAGGAGCAGACTCAAATGCCGTGCAGGAAAGTAGACGTTGCGTGCGCCCCGGCGTACATTCCCCTGCTTTCGGGCGAGCCTCGAACGCGCGGCGCTGATATTCGCCGAATTCAGTCAGATGAGGAGCAGGATCAACGTGCCGTGCAGGAAAGACGGCGCTACGGGGATGAGCACGCAACTCTGGCTCCCATAGGGAGCCTATACAGGAACTCTGCAAGCACTGGTACCACAGATCAAGCAGCACCTACCTCTCCATGCTTATGCCGGAAACTCTCAGCCTCGGGGTTTGGCCGTGGTTGGCGCCAGGCATGTAGCAAGTGGGGGGGCCCATGGGGCTTGCCCCCCCCCCCCCCCGAAATCTTCCATTTTGCTGGGACCTCCTCTCCCCCCTCCCCCTCATACAGCATTTTGTCATAGGCGGCCCCGGCCCCCCCCTCTTCCCCCCCCCCCCCCCCCCTTTGCCCAAAACAAAATCCTGGCTACGTGCCTGGTTGGCGCGGTCACGCTTGGCGAGATGCAGCAGTGTCCTGTGAGCAGTTAGAAACAATCTCGCTCACCAGGGCGTGCACAACTACATCCTCTCTTTTCCAGAGTGAGGGTAAAAACCGGATTTTAAGCCTTGTTCAACTTCTTACTAACTGTGCAGCGATATTACCAATTCTAAGCAGTCGCAAGAGATTGAAATCTGTTTTTGCACCCCCCGGTCACAAGCAGTCACAAGTTTGTGAAACAGTCATTACAAACGTTTCATTTCAGTTAATTTATACCGCTAAAACAATATCAGTTTTAAGCAGTCAAAGCAGGATCAATCGAAACTTCGAGTTCAGACCAACATCCTTTTGCGAGTTCTTAATAGAGTATTCGCACGACTAGGTTTCTCCTTGAGCACAGGATTAAACGTCATCGAGCTCTAAACTCACGTGCTCCGCATCACAAATGTGTTCAAATCCCCCCCAGCTCGCGGGGAGCCGAGGGGAATTTGTGACCGGCCGACAGAATATCTGTTGTTTCGTCAGAGCGACCAGGCCTCCCCTTTGTCCCCCTGCTTTTAGGAAGGTACCGCAGTTAACAGCAATTAGGTGGGCGCCTTTTTAAAAAAAAATTAATATGCTTTTTGTTTGACGAGTTTCCGAAGGTCGCCAGCACATTCGAAAAAGGAAAGACTCCGGCAACTCCGACTCGGTTGTGCGAATGCTCGCTTGATATTTCTGCACTGCCTCCTCCTTCTCGTTTTTTTCTTCTCGCAGCTCTACGACATACTCAATTTTCTCCAGCATTAATGATCTCTCATGAGATACCCTGTCACCTTTATGCACATTTACAAGGCGATCAAAAGCCTTTTAGCTGCACGAGCAGTTTCTTTGAAGCTCACTACCCATGCAGGCATTTTATTCGAATGACTTGACTTCTTTTTTTCTTAAAGGGGCACTAAACCAATGTCTGCGAAAGTCTATTTACGGTCATAAATTTGGACGTGTCTGCAATAGTTCCCGAGGAATCGATTTCTGATGCCGATTTAAGTAGCAATAGCTACTTAAATTGGTTAAGTGCTTCTTTAATTTTTTTAACAGACAATTGCTAACTAACAGATTAAAGCAGGCTCCTCTGTTCCGTGCAATTTGCTCCGTAATCAGTCGGTCAACTTGACCGTCAAACTATATCTTCGATCTGATATAGATGTTTGGTATACTATCCCCATCACGTGAGCGGATAGTTGAAATAGCTGCAAGGCTATGTCCTTTTTATCAAAGTAGACCATCTTTTGTGGTGAAGCTAAG